CAGAGAAAAGTACCTCCTTCTTTGATGGCCCCATTCTTTCCACTGGGATCTCGCTCGCAGAGATCTTTTCATTTAGTTTTTTTTTTTTTCTTTTTTGCCTGTGTCTTGGCTTTCCATGCCTGAAATACTCTCATGGGCTCTTCAGCCAGATCCGAATGCCTCAAGGGCTGATTCTGAGGCCAGAGTGCTGTTTAGGACATCTGCCATTCTATGAGTCTGCTGTGTACCCTGCTTCCCATGATGGATCATTCTCTCCCTTTTTTATTCTACCAGTTAGTATTATCAGACACTAGTCTTGTTTATGTGATCCCTTGGACTCTTAGACCTATCAGTATGATCAATTGTGAACTGAAATTGATCACTTGGACTAGTGAGATGGCATTGGTACATGAAACCTTGATGGGATTGTATTGGAATCCCCTGGCACGTTTCTAATTCCACCATCTGGGGCAAGTCCGATTGAGCATGTCCCAAATTGTACATCTCCTCCCTCTCTTATTCCCACTCTTATATTTAACAGGGATCACTTTTCAGTTAAATTTCAACACCTAAGAATAATTGTGTGTTAATTACAGAGTTCAACCAATAGTACAAGAACAAAAAAAAAATACTAAAAGGGATAAAGTATTAAATTGTACATCAACAGTCAGGACAAGGGCTGATCAAGTCACTGTTTCTCATAGTGTTCATTTCACTTCAACAGGTTTCCCCTTTAGTGCTTTGACTATGACCCTGTCTGAATAAGATCAAAGTCAGCGAACTCCTAAAGGCTTCCATAGCCTTGGCAACTCATGACTAGAGCCTAGGGAGATTACTGATGCCATAAACAAAAGTGTCAAATTTTTAAGTCAACAACAGGAGTCACTGTGTACTTACTCCTCATGTGGGATCTGTTCTTAATGTGTTGTCCAATGTGAAGTAATGCTATAACTAGTACTAAAACAGTATTTTACACTTTGTGTTTCGTGTGGGTGCAAACTGATGAAATCTTTACTTAATATATACTAAATTGATCTTCTGTATATAAAGATAATTGAAAATGAATCTTGATGTGAATGGAATGGGAGAGGGAGCGGGAGATGGGAGGGTTGCGGGTGGGAGGGAAGTTATGGGGGGGGGAAGCCATTGTAATCCATAAACTGTACTTTGGAAATTTACTAAATAAAAGTTAAATAAAATAAAATAAAATAAAATAAAAAGTATTTATTTATTTATTTGAAAGGCAGAGTTACAGAGAGGCAGAGGCAGAGAGAGAGAGGGAGAGAGGGAGAGAGGTCTTCCATCTGCCAGTTCACTCCCCAAATGGCCACAATGGCCAGAGCTAAGCTGATCCAAAGACAGGAGCCAGGAGCTTCCTCCAGGTCTGCCATGCTGGTGTAGAGGCCCAAGGACTTGAGACATCTTCCACTGCTTTCCCTGGCCACAGCAGCGAGCTGGATTGGAAGTGGAGCAGCCGGGACTTGAACCGGTGCTCATATGAGATGGTGGTGCTGCAGGTGGCGGCTACACCACAGCGCTGGTGAAAAATGTAAATCTTTAAAAAAAAAATCTCACACAACTACTAGCTCCCTCAATCTCCTGGCTCTGGTCACAATGGCCTTTCAGTTCCTTGAACTTGACATGCTGCAGGTGGTGGCTTTATCCACCATGCCACAGTGCTGGCCCAAGATTTCTTCATCTTTAACTCACAACTTTCATACAAGCAAGCTCATATCTGATTGTATCTTGCCCAGTCTGAGGAACTTCTATGAGAGATAAATTATAGAACTAAGTAATAGAGGAAAATTAACTGAATGATGCATTTAGTTTACTATAGTTGTTCATTGCTATACTGCAAGTCTTGCCCATAAATGAATCTACATTTTACAATAGAAAAAAAAGGCTAAAAATATATTTCACCTACACTCTCAACTTTTCATTTAAAAAACTCAAGTTTTAAGCCTTTTTACTTCTTAATTGCTAAAGAATTTTAAAACACTTTTTGTAACTCACACTGTGAATCACTTTTCTTGAGGAATCTCTTTGCCAGTTCTTCTGCCTATACACATTTTATTAGTCATTGAACCTGAACCTGATTATATTTTTTCAACCCTTTTTAAAAAAAAATTACAATTCCTGTGGCCGGCGCTGTGGCTTACTTGGTTAATCCTCTGCCTACATCGCTGGCATCCCATATGGGCGCCAGGTTCTAGGCCCGGTTGCTCCTCTTCCAGTCCAGCTCTCTGCTGTGGCCCGGGAGGGCAGTGGAGGATGGCCCAAGTGCTTGGGCCCTGCACCTGCGTGGGAGACCAGGAGGAAGCACATGGCTCCTGGCTTCGAATCGGCGCAGCGCCAGCCATAGCGGCCACCTGGGGGGTGAACCAACGGAAAAGGAAGACCTTTCTCTCTGTCTCTCACTATCTATATCTCTACCTGTCAAATAAATAAAAAAAAATTTAAAACATATCACAATTCCTCTCTGACAAATTTAGCTTCAAAATGTCATTAAGTTAATATTAATGCATATAGTTGTAGGGGAAACAAATAAAAAATTCAGCAAAATAAAGCCTGAGTATCTGTAAAGATTTAGGAGAAAAGTATGGAGAAAAATTTAAGAATTAGTCAAAACTCTTAACAGCACCATGAGGAAGCCCAAATGGAAAAGTAAGCAGCAAATTCTAAAATACCAACAGTAAAAAGTTTCCATAAAGCTCTTATTTGAAGAGCTCAATGAAAGGTTTGTCACAGTACGGCTACCCTGAAAAACCCACCTCAGTCAGACACACATGGGCACATGAACAGCTCTTGAAAAGTCTGTTTATGCAGAGGAACAACTCTTTTTTTGTTCTAGAACTCTGGCTCTCTGCCTGGAAGAACAGCTTTCAGACCTATTCTCCTTTGGAACGTCAAAATTTTTTGTTAATAACATTTTGACATCTTTCTATTTGGCTAATAAGTGACTTCTACCCAGAAAGCAAGCACTTTAAAGAAGCTAAAGTTAAAAGACCCTCTCCTTAGTACTGCAAATTCTGGAAAATAACAGCAGACACAGTATTCTTTAGCAATGCATCATAATGAAACACTACCTCCAGAAGAATTTAGATAAATACATGTACCTGTAATATCTAGCTACCCACAGAAATTTCAAGTAGCATAATGAGGAAATGGGGTAGCGGTGCTGAGGAAACCGTAGAGAAAAACTATTTCATCCTCCTAGTGGCTTTATGGTTTCTTGAAACTAGCAGAAAATGTTACTCCTGACCTACCTTAGGTGTATGTGAACAAAGGATAGTCTTTCAGAAACTAGACCACATTTGGAGCTGCAGGGCACCCATTCACAGGAGCTGGTTGGCCAAACTCCAGAGCAGCTAGTATGAGAGGAGTGAGGAGGAGACTGGTTCAGAATTTAAGGAGGTACCCACTCTCGGGGCTGCCCTACACTTCCATGACCCTGAGAGTGAGTGCCTCCTTAAGTCCTGAGCCTTCAGCTGGCACCTCACTCAGCTCATCCTTCTGGGGGTGGGACAACATGTGGTACTTATTCAAGTCTACAACAACCCTAGGAAATAGATTCATAATCACCTTAATTTTACAGACAGGGAAACTGAGGCTAAAAAATTAATGACTTGTCCTGTTATTCCATTAGTAAATAGGGTATCAAGACATGAACATAGGCCTCCTCCCTTTAGCACTGGCATCCTTCCACTCAGTGCTTAGCTGTTATGCCGCTCACGTACAGCTTCTCGTCAAATCCTAAAGGGATGTCCTCCACTAGGCACCATGGAAATGTTCAGCATACAGGTTCATGAACACAAACTAAAATACTCTGGAAGTTACAATGAACTTATTCTCCACCTAAGTATTCATCCAATCTCTATTAACAATCTGCACCAACAATTACACCTTTCTAACAAAAATATTTCTTAACTCATCATTTGTAAAAACATACACTGACATGTTTCATGTGGCTTTTGAACAAGACTTAATTACACCTCTCAGAGTCTGTTCCATGTCATCCAAATGTATTATATTCTCTTCAACATAGGGTCCAAATAAAAATCAGCCCATCATAGGGCCATATTTTAATAAACAAAAATTTTCTGTGGAAAAACGTGTTCAAAATAAAACACTGATTTGGAGATAATACAATTCATTGTTTTCCAACTAAGTTTTGCCACAAAAGGAAATATAAGATTTTGGTTACATAGTAATGTTTTTTTAAGATTATCTTTTTTGTTTAATTAAAATACTGACCTAAAAGGTTTTTGAAACACAAAATGATAAAAAAAAATTTTTTTAAATCCCTGGAGAGTGGAATTAATTCTGTGAAAAAGAGGTTTTCAATTTAAGAAAAAGGGGGAAGGAAATGTATGTTCTGCATTTGGATTTTTTCAGGTAAGCAAAGTGACCCAACTAGAAGTGGCCTGTCATGACCAGATACAGGACCTGTATCTCCTGATCCCCAGTTCAGAGCACTATCCCTGAACCCTGCTGCTTTCTGATAATGTTATCAGGTGATCTCACCTTTATGCTGAAAACAAGTCAAAAATATTGCACAATTCAATTTTTATTTTCTTAGTAAACACGTGGAATAACTTTCATCTACAATTCAAATCTTCTCCCTTCCCCAGATTAAAAAGATACAGCAGCTTTAATCACATTTCTCTGTAATTGTTGGGTATCCTATGCTACTTTGTACAGTGAAAAAAAATTCCTGTGGAAACATAAAAATCACAAAAAGGACTTAGGGATTTTGTCACATTAAGGTTACTTTTTCTTCTTGGTCTGATATCTCCTCCTGTATTTTTTTCTCACAATGCTGATATTCATCAAAGTTGCACCAGGTGGAAAAGTAAGGATGGATTTCAAAAGTGCTTTGCACCAAAATAAGCTTACTTTTAATTTTATTTTTAAGACAGAAAGATTGAAAGAGAGAGAGAAAAAAAGCCAGGACCTCCATCTGAGTTCCTACAAGTGTGTCAGAGATCCATGTACTTGAGCCATCATTTGCTGTCTCCCAGGGTGTGCATTAGGAGGAAGTTGGATCAGAGTGGAGTAGTGGAACTTGGACCAGGCATGCTGATGTGAGATGTGGGCATTCCAAGTAGCAAAGTGGCGACTCTTCTGCTGTACCAGACACCCACCCCTTCATGAACTTTTTGAAATGCCCTAGTACGTTATGTCATTCAATCTTCACAAGGACCTTGGGAGGTAGGCACTTTTCTTATTCCCATTTTTCACATGCAGAAAATGACTTGCCAAATGACTGAACTGAGATCACAAAGCTAGTACATGTCAAAAACCAGAATCTGAACTGAGGCTGTCTAACTCCAAAAACCCACAGGAAGAAAAAATTGCTCCCTTCTGTTTCTGAAAGTTCTTTTGCTACTTTACCCCATCAAAATAGAATGGAATAGGAATTGTCAAGTCTGTATCAAGGACAAATAATCCCATGATGACTAAAGTCCCCTAGAAATACTGTCTTCATAAAGCCTCCACAAGACAGGTGACCACAGCTGGAAGGCAAATTTCAGTTCAAGAGCAAGAAAAGGTACCACGCAAAGGCAAGATAAAGAATGGACACTAACAGAACAATTATCATGAAAATGGTAAAGAAAAAATTATTTACTAGTAGGAATAATAGCTACAAAATAAATTGTGATGAAATGTTGATGGCCTCATTGCTGAGTTCCACAAAACCTTCCGATAGTTTTCTAGATCCACCTTTAACTGTTATTTCCAATGGCATAAATTGTAAAAAAAAAAAAATGTCCACAAAAGGAAAAGTATTAGCATTTTAAGACATACATTATAAATTAGACTTTACATACTGAGGGTTCTTTGTATAACTAGTTCAATAGTAATGTAATATTTTTTGTTCAAGGTACAATTCACCTAACATAAATTAACTATTAACCACTTTAGAATTTCATTATTTTATTTTATTCTTATCATTTATTTTAAAAGTAGAGTGAAAGAGGCCGGCGCCGCGGCTCACTAGGCTAATCCTCCACCTGCAGCGCCAGCACACTGGATTCTAATCCCTGTCGGGGCGCCAGATTCTGTCCTGGTTGCCCCTCTTCCAGGCCAGCTCTCTGCTGTGGCCAGGGAGTGCAGTGGAGGATGGCCCAAGTGCTTGGGCCCTGCATCCGCATGGGAGACCAGGAGAAGCACCTGGCTCCTGCCTTCGGATCGGCGCGGTACGCCGGCCACAGCAGCCATTGAAGGGTGAACCAACGGCAAAGGAAGACCTTTCTCTCTCTCTCTCTCTCTCTCTCTCTCTCTCTCTCTCATTATCCACTCTGCCTGTGGAAAAAAAAAGTGAAAGAGAGAAAGGGAGAGAGAGAGATATCTTCCATTTGCTGGTTCACTCCCCAAATGCCTGCAACAACCAAGGATAGGCCAGGTCAAGACCAGGAGCCAGTAACTTCACATGGGTCTCCCAAGTGGGCAGCAGGAATCCAGGTACCTGTTCCATCATCTGCTGCCTTCCAGGTACATTAGAAAAAAGCTGGATTGGCTGGGGGTTGCAGCACCAGCATCCCATGTGGGCACTGGTTCAAGACCCGATTGTTCCATTTCCAATCCAGCTCCCTGCTATTAGGCCTGGGAGAGCAGCAGAAGATGGCTAAAGTACCTGGGCCCCTGGAGAGTGAACCAGCAGGTGGAAGATCTCTCTCTCTCTCCTTCTCTCACTGTAGATCTGTCTTTCAAATAAATAAATAAATCTTTTTAAAAAGAAAGAGGGGGGCCAGCGCCATGGCTCACTTGGTTAATCCTCTGCCCGCGGCGCTGGCATCCATATGGGCGCTGGGTTCTAGGCCCAGTTGCTCCTCTTCCAGTCCAGCTCTCTGCTGTGGCCTGGGAGGGCAGTGGAGGATGGCCCAAGTGCTTGGGCCCCTGCACCCACATGGGAGACCACGAAGAAGCCCCTGGTTCCTGGCTTCAGATTGGCACAGCACCGGCCATAGCGGCCATTTGGGGAGTGAACCAACAGAAGGAAGACCTTTCTTTCTGTCTCTCTCTCTCTCTCTCACTGTCTATAACTCTACCTGTCAAATTAAAAAAAAAAAGAGAGAGAGAGAGAAAGAAAAAAAGAGAGAGGGAGGGAGGGAGGGAATGAAAGCTGGATTGGAAGTGCAAAGTAGCTGGAAATCAAATTGGCACTCTAATTTAGTAATCAGGCATCACAAGTGGTGGCTTAAACTACTGCATCACAATATCTGCCACAAATGAACCATTTTAAAATCAACAGTTCAATGACATTCATTATACTGTACAGTTACCATAATATTGTACAGTTATCATCACTAGTTCCAAGATTAGCTTTCATAACACCAAAAGACAATCCTACACCCCTACTAATGCAGTGCTGGAGAAATACTCTTAGTAAGTCCAGAAAAACAGAAGAATGAGAGATTAAAAACTTCCAGTGATATGGCTAGCAGTTGTAAGTCACTAATTCATGAACTTAAGAGAAACAAAATGTTTTTAAAATCTTATTAACAGGGGCCAGTGCTGTGGTGTAGTAGGCTATGCCTCTACCTGCGACACTAACATCCCGTATGGGCACTGGTTCATGTCCTGGCTGCTCCTCTTCTGATTCAGCTCTCTGTTTATGTCCCGGGAAAGCAGCCTGCAACCAAGTAGGAGACCTGGAAGAACCTCTTGGCTCCTGGCTTCAGATTGGCCCAGTTCAAGCTGTTGCAGCCATTTGAGGAGTGAATCAGCAGATGGAAAGACCTTTCTCTCTGTCTCTCCCTCTATCTATAACTCTACCTCAAATAAATAAATATTTTTTAAAAAATCTTATTAACAAATATTTTGTTAAAAGATTATAATGGCTGGCAATGTGGCGTAGTGGGTAAAGCCACCGCCTGCAGTGCCGGCATCCCATACAAGTTCAAGACCTGGCTGCTCCACTTTTGATCCAGCTCTCTGCTATGGCCTGGGAAAGCAGTAGAAGATGGCCCAACTCCTTGGGCCTCTGGACCTGTGTGGGAGACCTGGAAGAAGCTCCTGGCTCCTGGCTTCTGATGGGCACAGCTCTAGTCAATGCGGTCAATTGGGGAGTAAACCATCAGATGGAAGACCTATCTCTCTCTCTGCCTCTCCTTCTCTCTCTGTGTAACTCTTTCAAATAGATAAATAAATCTTTAAAAAAAAAGTTTAAAAGTACTTGTGCTGAATATTGGATACGGTGGTGGTATGGCCAAGATGTGGAAGGTAGCAAAAATTAATACAATCTGGTTTTTGTCTTTACAGGAGCTTGCAATCTAATGAAGAATTGAGATGTCAGAAAATGGTACAAAGTAAACAAAAGAAAAGAGTGTAGAGGAAAAAGGGATAAGATACCAAAAGAAGGTGACAGGAAATCTATTTGTTGTTTAGATCAAGAAGTCTTGTGCTTGGACGAATGATGATTTGCCCTTTCAGTCTATGAAGAGGAGCCAGATAAACTGCTGAAATAGATGAGGATGTTACATGAGCCCATGAACTGAATCCGCACTCTCCAGGAGTGAATAATGAGATAGTTAAAGTTTCATGTTACTACAGGTCTTTGTTGTGCTATGGTATGCAGATTTTCTCACAAAACAGTATAGGCCAAATCCAAGAGACACAAGGATAATGTATAAAAAGGAGGAGTTATTTTATTAAAGCTTAATAGCATCATTCAGCTACAGAAGGAATGTGAGCATTTAAAAAGTTTAAAGACGGGGCCGGCGCCGCGGCTCACTAGGCTAATCCTCCACCTTGCGGCACCGGCACACCGGGTTCTAGTCCCGGTCGGGGCGCCGGATTCTGTCCCGGTTGCCCCTCTTCCAGGCCAGCTCTCTGCTGTGGCCCGGGAGTGCAGTGGAGGATGGCCCAAGTGCTTGGGCCCTGCACCCCATGGGAGACCAGGAAAAGCACCTGGCTCCTGCCTTTGGATCAGCGCGGTACGCCGGCCGCAGCAGCCATTGGAGGGTGAACCAACCGCAAAGGAAGACCTTTCTCTCTCTCTCTCTCTCTCACACTATCCACTCTGCCTGTCAAAAAAAAAAAAAAAAGTTAAAGACGGTGTAGGCACTTGGTCTACAGTTAATATATCCACATCCCATATGAAAGTGCGCGGGTTCAGTTCCCAGCTCTAGCACTAACTCCAGCTTTGTGCTACTGCAGTCCCTGGGAAGCAGCCATGGTGAATCAAGTAATCAGGTTCCTCTCATTCACCTGGATGGTACGGGTCATGTTTTTGGATGGCTTTGACCTTGCTTGTCATGGGCATCTGAAGAATGAACCAGCAGATGGAAGCCATTTGTCTCTCTCTTTCTCTCTGCCTTTCAAATTAATCAATTACTTACATTTAATAAAAGCATACAGAGAATGAGCAAGATAAGTTGGTATGGATACCAAGAAAATAAGAATGGGACATAAAGAACAGTATAACATCACTGAAGATATGACGTATAGAAAAGGCATACATTATGAAAGGGAAGAAAATGTAACAGCTGCAGATTAAGCTTCATATTCCACCTCTCCAAGATAAAACAAATCATGCTAAAGAAACGTGATTTGGGGCTGGCACAGTAGATTAATCCTCCGTCTGTGGCGCTGGCATCCCATACGGGCGCTGGTTCTAGTCCCAGCCCCTCCTCTTCCAATCCAGCTCTCTGCTGTGGCCTGGGAGAGCAGTAGAAGATGGTCTAAGTGCTTGGGTCCCTGCACCTGCATGGGAGACCGGGAAGAAGCACCTGGCTCTTGGCTTTGGATCAGTGCCATCTCCAGCCATTGCGGCCATTGGGGGATGAACCAGCGGAAGGAAGACCTTTCTGTCTCTCCCTCTCACTGTCTGTAACTCTACCTCTCAAATAAATATATAAAAATCTTTTTTTAAAAAATAGTTGATTTGTAAATATAGAAGAGATATCTTTCCAGAGAGTTAGATGAAGGTTATCAGCTTTTCACCAAGATGGCACTGAAGGCAAAGAAGGAAGCTCCTGCCCCTACCAAAGCTCAAGCCGAGGCAAAGGCTTTAAAGACCAGGAAGGCAGTGCTGAAGGGCATCCACTGCCACAAAAAATAAAAATAAAGAAATCTGCATATCATCCACATTCTAGCCATCCAAAATGCTACACTTCGGCAGCCCAAATCTCCTTAGCAGAGTACCCCCAGGAGAAACAAGCTTGACCACTATGCCATCATCAAGTTCCTCCTGACCACTGAGTCAGTCATGAAAAAGATAGAAGACAACAACACACTCATGCTCATTGTGGATGTCAAGGTCAACAAGCACCGGTTCAAACAGGCTGTGAAGAAATGTGACCTTGATGTGGCCAAAGTCAACACCCTGATCAGGCCTGACAGAGAGAAGGCGGCCTAAGTTCTACTGGCTCCTGATTAGGATTCTTTGAATGCCCTGCTGGCTAATTCTAAGTGTATGTTTTTTTCACCATAAAAAAAGATTATTGGGAGCCGGCATTGTGGCACAGGGGGTAAAGCTGCCTCCTGCAGTGCCAGCATCCCATATGGGTGTTGGTTTGATTCCCAGCTGCTTCTCTACCAATCTAGTTTCCTGCTAATGAACCTGGGAACACGGCGGAAGATGGCCCAAGTGCTTGGGCCCCTGCACCCACATGGGAGACCCGGAAGAAGCTGCTAGTTCCTGGCTTTGGACCAGACCAGCTCTGGCCATTGCGGCCATTTGGGGAGTAAACCAGTAGATGGAATATCTCTCTATCTCTCCCTCTACCTCTAACTCTAACTTCACCTTTCAAATAAATAAAATAAATCTTAAAAAAGAAAAATTATCAAATAAATGTTAACATTTGAAGGCCTAAAAATTATAACATGTAATTATCATAGAATTCTTAAAGGAATATATATATACACGGCCGGTGCTGTGGCATAGCCAGTGGGGCTGCTGCCTGCAGTGCCAGCATCCCATGTGGGTGCCAATCAAGTTCCAGCTGTTCTACTTCTGGTCCAGCTCTCTGCTGTAGCCTGGGAAAGCAGTGGAAGATGGCCCAAGTCCTTGGGCCCCTGCACCCACATGAGAGGCCCAGGGGAAGCTCCTGGCTCCTGGCGTCAGATCTGCACAGTTCCAGCTGTTGTGGCCACTTGAGGAATGAACCAGAGGATGGAAGACTCTCTCTCTCTCTCTTTGCCTCTGCCTCTCTGTAATTCTGCCTTTCAAATAAATAAATAAATCTTTAATATATATATATATATAATAAATATAAAATAATGAACCTGAATATTGAAATAGTCTTTAAGAGCCTACAGGAAATAAAAGAATAAACACAACTAGTTTATATTAATATAATGCAAGCTATAAGTATCTTAAAATGTTTTGTTTAACAAATAATGATTCTGTAATGAAGATGTTCAGAATATGGAAGCAACTACCATTGCGTGGGTTGTGAATAAGTGTTTTGCAGTGACTAATCAAAATTAAGGGAAAGAAGTGAATCATAGTTCTAAAGAAAGAGCTTACAGGTCTTATTTACAGAAAGAAAGAAAGATGAACAAATCACCATCATGAAAATAGACTCAGAAAGCAAAAATATGAAGAACTGTAGATATGTAAGAAGTCAGGAGAACTGGGCATATATGAGCATAAAAACTGAATTTATGATCAATGGAATTTTTCTGTTTTCATGATGGATGGACAGTTATAAATAGATGTAAAATATAAGTATATTTGAAATAAAACATACGAAAACCAAATGAGTTAATGGAGATGAAATTGCTTTAAAACGTATTGGCCTGTGCTCACTTCGGCATTACATATATTAAAAAAGTATTGGCCGTTAGACAAAGAAAAGGCTTTACTTAACTGAAGCATAGCAGTCATGGGCTTTCTCAAGCCCAGAGAGGAAACAAGCATTTAACTGGCTCTGCTCAGTTCCCATAAAACATAGCAGTCAGTGGGGGCTTCTCAATGATGATAACCTTCTCAAACTTCAGTGCTGTCTGGAAAAAAAAGAACCTCTTTGTTGTACAAAATCTTCAATTGGTATTTTCTTTTTTAAAATTTTTTTTAAAAGTGTATTTATTTGAGAGGTAGAGTCCAGACAAATAGAGGGAGAGACAAAGGTCTTCCATCTACTGGTTCACTCTCCAAATGTCCGCAATGGCCATAGCTGGGCCTGTCTGAAACCAGTGACCATAAGTTTCCTCCAGGTCTCCCACATGGGTGCAGAAACCCAAGCACTTGGGCCATCTTCCACTGATTTCCCAAGCCATAAGCTGGAGCTGGATCAGAAGAGGAGCACACGGGACATGAATCTACCCATATGGGATGCCGGTGATGCAGGCCAAGGCTTAACCTACTAAGCCACAGTGCTGGTCCCTTCAATTGGTATTTTCAAAAATTGAAATACAATTAACAAACCAGAATATTCATCTCTTTAAAATCTGCAATTCAGTATCTTTTTGTATATTCTCATAATTATGCAACCATCACCACTCTCTAACGCAACTTTCAAAACAAACTATACCCATTAGTAGTCACTCTGATTCCCCTTTCTTTTCAGCCAGGAATCTTTCTATCTCTGTGAATATGCCTATTCTAGAAATTCCATATGAATGTAATTATATTAGATGTGACTTTTGTTTCCAAGGTTCATTTATATTGTACTATGTATCAGTACTTCATTTTTTTATGGCCAAACAAGATCCCATTGTATAGACAGATCACACTTTGTTTATCCATTCATAGGTTGATGGAAATTTCCAATTATTATTTTGTTTTATTTACTTCTTTTCAAGTTTGAAAATTGTTTCACATTAACGTAGATATATTCCAAGTGAGTAATGTGAGGTTCTTAAGATTAATTTTAAGATAAACAATTTATATAAAAATTGGCAAATATCACAAAAGGTATGGAAATGAATAGTTTTATTATATATTTAAAACTATAACTACTTTATATATATTTATGTAGGTATATATATATGTATATATATGTACTTCAAGAAGTTCATGGAGCATGGAAAAAAGCTACATTTATTGGCCGGCGCTGCAGCTCAATAGGCTAATCCTCCACCTGTGGCGCTGGCACACCGGGTTCTGGTCCCAGTTGCTCCTCTTCCAGGCCAGCTCTCTGCTGTGGCCTGGAAGTGCAGTGGAGGATGGCCCATGTCCTTGGGCCCTGCACCTGCATGGGAGACCAGGAGAAGCACCTGGCTCCTGCCTTCGGATCAGCGTGGTGCGCCGGCCTCAGCGTGCTGGCCACGGCAGCCACTGGGGGGTGAACCAACAGTAAAGGAAGACCTTTCTCGCTGTCTCTCTCTCACTGTCCACTTTGCCTGTCAAAAAAAAAAAAAAAGATACATTTATTTTGGTGCAAAATTTTTTTTGAAATTTCTATTTTTATATTTAAAATGAGCCCTATCTTATGGCCACTTATGTACATCTCACTGTTTCCATTTAAATGTACATTTTCCATTGAAAGTCCATCCTTGAGATTCAATGACTGCTTAGAGCCCTTGTCTCTTCTGTTGAGGAACAGTGTTTTTTTCTTCATGCTATTTATTGAACTCTTTTATTTAGTGTATAGTTAAGTTTATGGCCATTAAGTAAACTCAAAGTAGGTCTTTGTAAAAATTAAGAGTAAGAATGGGAAAGGGAGGAGGAAGGTTTGGAGCATGGGTGGGAGGGAGGGTAGGGTAGGAAGTATCACTATGTTCCTATATCTGTATATATGAAACACATCAAACTTGTACAACTTAATAAAATTTAAAAAAAAAGAAAGTCTACTCTTTGTTAAAACAAAAGAGAAAAACAAAAACAAAGGCAATAACTTTTTTCATGTGAAGTGATTATTTACTTTACTGGATTAATACTTGTATGTTCCCTCTACAGAGTTAATGTTGATCTTTCTCACACAGTTGCATCAGCTTTAACAAACATTTGAACACCACAGTACACAAACAAATGTGAACTTAAACCACTGTGGAAGGCTTCCTGCAGCACAATGTTTAAATGAAAGGAATTGGATATCAATTACTTACTCAATACGCAGTTTAAGTTACTGTGAATTTCTCACATTTCTTTGCTAACTTGCCTCACTGAAACCAGACATAGGCTGAAAAAATCTGTTATAGAAAGATACATATGTAGGTATCCAGCCAGAGAGATACAGAAGGGAGAATTTCTCATTTTGAAAAAGCGTCTTGTACGTCTCCAAATTTTTTGAAGGAGTTTGGGTAAATGCAGATTTGCACAGCAATTCTGATGTCATTTATTCACTTAACAAACATCTGTGGAGGAACTACTTTGTGCCAGGTGCCTTGAGGGGTACAATTATGGAATGATATTGCTTCTGATCTGGTGAAACTGATTATCTGTCGAGGAGCACAAGACATGAACATAAATATCTATAATTTAGAGTAGTAAGTGGTAACTGCTACAAAATAGAAATAGGTAAATTGCCACAGGAGTTCAGAAAAATGAATCATCCACTGTTAAGAGAGAAAAATTGGGTGGGGGTGATAAACCTGGACTAAACGTCAAGACTAGATAGAATCATAACAAGTAGAAACACAGCAAGAACAACTGGTACAATGGCACAGAGTCAGATCATTTCTAGATATGTAAAGGAAGAGAAGGAAGCTTGGAAGTTTATAGTAAAAGGAGTAATGGTCCCCGAGACTAGAAAGCTGAGTTGGATCGGATACTACAGGGCCTTGCTTGCTATGAAAAGGAATTTATATTTTATACTGTGGTCAACAGAGGGGCTACTAAGGTTTCTGAGTAGCAAAGTAATGTGAAAATCACTATACCTGGGAAAGATTAATTTGATAATTCCAGTATAAAATCATCTGTAAAAAGAGTTGGGGGAGGAGTCAGCATTGTGGTTTGGTGGGGTAAGCCACCACCACCTGCAAAGCCAGCATCCCATATGGGCACCAGTTCAAGTCCCAGCTGCTCCGCTTCTGATCCAGCTCCATGTTGATGTGCCTGGGAAAGCAGCAGAAGATGACCCAAGTGCTTGGGCCCCTGCACCCACATGGGAGACCCAGATAAAATTCTTGGGTCCTGGCTTCGGCCTGGCCCAGCCTTGGCCATTACAGCCATTTGAGGAGTGAACAAGTGGTTAGAAGATCTCTCTTTCTTTAACTCAGCCTTTCAAATAAATCTTTTTTTAAGATTTATTTTATTTATTTGAAAGGCAAAGTTACAGAGAGGTGGAGAGAGAGAGAGAAAGTCTTCCATCTACTGGTTCATTCCCCAGATGGCTACAATGACTGGAGCTGAGCCAATCCAAAGCCAGGAGCCAGGAGCTTCCTCCGGGTCTCCCACATGGGTGCAGGAGCCCAAGGACTTGGACTGTCTTCCACTGCTCTCCCAGGCCATAGCAGAGAGTTGGATCGGAAGTGGAGCAGCCAGGACTCGAACCTGCACCCATATGGAAGACCAGCACCGCAGGCGGAGGCTTTACCCGCTACACCACAGCGCTGGCCCCTAAAATACATCTTTAAAAAATAAATAATAAAAGAGCTGGGGGAAAAACAGGAATGGAAAAATAGTTAAGAGGCTATTACAATGCTCCTGGAGAGAGACAGGGTCAGAAGAAGGACGTGGATGAAAGAAATATTAGGAAAACAGAACTGAACAAATATTTCACGTTCCTGTTATTAACTCATATTCCAGGAACCTAAATTCTATTACCTTAATATAGAAACAAGCTTTTGACTGGTGACAATATGAGTTACCTGCACCCAAAGATACACAGAGAATTATGCCGGTTCTCCCTAAAAAACATTATGAAATCAACCGTGTGAAAGAGTTCTCTCAAGGTGAATTTTCCCTTTCAAACACTTAATCATTAGGATTCTTCTTGGGTAGTTCTCATAATCTAGGGGTTAAGAAATGCCATACTCAAGTCACAGAGCGCTGGGCCAATTTGTCCCTCACCCAACTTTATCAATAATGAAACTGAGCACTGTAGAGGAACTGATTTGTCCAGGAAAGCATGATGGGTTAGAATTCAGTCTTGATCTCTCTCACCATCTCCCCAGCTTACATTCCTCTGTAGATACTACAAGTTGATTAGAGCTGAGTTATCTAAATAAAGTGACCCTTTTAGTTTGCTCAAGCTTAAAAAGTTTGTTTCAAATAAATAGCAATCAAGAAGAATAATATGTCTCCACCAGAAAGCTGGAAATCTTCAAGGTATCCCTGTTTGGATGGAATACTCACATGCTGCATGCTTTGCTCATTAGGTATCATAAAACACTGAGTTAAACACAGTGTAGCAACAACTTGACTTCTTGTGGAAAATTCTGGTTAGTTAGGGGAATTCCTTAGGTCTTCCAGAAACTTGTGGTTTCCAAACTCCCAAACTCTTTTACTGAGAACAACAAATATGTTTTCAATAGAATTCAATTTAGGATTTCAGGAAGCAAGTAAAACTTGCAGAATGTAGGCACTGCAGAAATGAAGGAAAAGGGCATCAATCTCTCAAAATTCTGGCAGGAAAGGAGTAGCTGTTTCCAAAGTTCTTTTTCCTTTGCAATAAGCTGCTTTTTGGTGCCAAAAAACAGCTCATCAGCAATGTTGTTTCATTTTATAAAGATGTTTGGAGAGAGAGAAATTACGAATGCATGCTGTAATTTTTTAACTCTCATGTCCCAATGCCTATAATAATCTTGCTGCTTTTTACTAAAAAAAATCAAATGTTTCTGATGATCTTTGAGTCACTGCAGGCATATTAAATTACTTTATTACAAGAAGCAACATGTAGTTTATTTGAATGTTGCTAAGGCCAAAAAAAAAAAAAAGCCATAGATTGTCTGAGGGATTCAAATTCAAGAACTTCTTGTTCTTCTACCTTTAAAAAAAATTGTAGGTTTAACTCAAGTTACAGATTAAAAACAACCACAGCACTAAAATATCATTTCTCTACCTCTCCCGGGCGGCTCTCACGTCTACACTGCAGCCTAGAAATGTCCAGAGGTATCCCAGGTATGATCTGAGAATCCTGGCTGCCACATGGTTCACAGTTCTGCTTGCCTGATTGTTGCCAGTGCTCTATGCCATGTTACCACTACCCACCAGCACTGCTTCCATTATTGTAGCTGCTGATATGTGCAAAGGAGGCCTCCAAGGCCCAGAGTGTACCTCCAAGATGTTTATGGTCTTGAAGTCAAGGCTGCTCTCCCAATGCTAATATCCACACCCCTGACAAGAAGCACATCCACATCCTAAGAAGACAGCAAAAAAATCTCCTTTAGCTTCTGCTAGGTTTTATATTACAGTCATCCTAGGGTCACAGGACTCAGGAGAGACTAGCTTGGTGTTCAATACCT